GGAGACAGATATATAAATGGACAGAGACAACACTGAGAGGTGAATACTATATAAGGGGTCAGCCTAGGTGCTGGGGAGCATGTGAGCAGGGCCTTTCTCTGTACACCATCTAGTGGGGATATGGGGGTGTTTGAAAGAATCAATGGCTTAGTCCATGTTCAAGGCCCTGTAGCTGTGGGGCAGAGTTGCAGTTGTTGTAATGTTGCTTACAGTGGTGGTTAATGATTAATATTTGTGATGGTTAATGTTATTTGTCAACTTGGCTAAGTCATTGTGTGTCAATTTGGCTGGGCTGTGGTTTTGAGTGGCTGGGCAGCTTGATGCAGTTATTCCCCACAATGTGACTGAATGTGGTGTAATCAACTCCATGGTGGAATCTGCTGTAAGCAGCTAATTAGTTGTCTTCAAAGGCCTGCTTCTAGTACATATGGAGAAGTTTTGAGAAAGGTCTCTAGCTTCTTGGCACATCTGGAGCCAGCATTTGGCTGAATCATCAGTGGCCTGCCATGTTGCTTGCCAGTCTTGGGACTGTTTCTGGACTTGAACTAGTGGCCTGCCATGTTGCTTGCTGATCTTGCGACTGTGCCATTTCACTTGTCAGCCTTGGATCTGTCAGCCTCAGCAGTCAGTAGCTGTCTGAGTTAAGAGATGCCGCTGACTCCAGGTGCCAGGAGCAAGAGGCAGAGCTAAAACCCCCCAGGTCCAGGGGCCTTCACCCAGCCCCTGGAGCTGGCCCTTTGAACTCAGATATCTAGCCTCCTAAACTGGTGGTGTAGCACCTAAGGCATCTGACTGCTGACCAGAAGGTTAGTGGTTCTAACCCACTAGCCACTCTGCAGAAAGAAGACTGGGCAATCTACTGTAAAGATTAACTGCCTCAGAAACCCAAAGGGGGTTGCCATGACTTGGAATTGACTCGATGGCAGTGAGTTTGGTTTTTCTTTTTTAATTTTTTTTAAACTGGAAGAGAATAAATCCCTGCTTATTAAAGTCATCCACTTGTGATACTTCTGTTATAGCATCACTAGAGAACCAAAACAGTCATGATTCTCAGTATTATGTAGTTGTCCTCTATTTTGTAATCTGATGTAATTATCCTCTATTTTATGCATTATAAATCCTAACCTCTATATGTAAATGGGAGCTCTGGTAGCATAGTGCCTAAGGCACTTGACTGCTAACCAGAAGGTTGGCAGTTCAAACCCACCAGCCACTCCTCGGAAGGAAGGTTGGGCAATCTACTTCCATAGTGATACCACCTCAGAAACCTAAGAAGAGGTCACTATGAGTCAGGTCCGACTCGATGGCACATAGCAACAACAACAACAACTATATGTAAATGAGGCAAGATTAGTATGGGGTATGTCTTTTTTTTTTTTTTTTAGGATTTGGGTGAAGATTTACAGAGTAAATTCACTTTTCATACAGCAGTTCACATATACTTTGTCTCATGTCATTGACCAAAATTTACAATGCAGCAGCTCCCCTCCCACTTCCTCCCCATACTTACCTCCTCCCAGTGTCCATCCCTTCATACTCTTCTGCACCCTGAGCTATCTCCCTGTGCATAAGCAGCCCTTCCTTCTCCCATGATTGTTCTCTCCAGGGCGTGTGTCTACTTGAGGTAAATGTTTAACTCACATGTCTGTACTTTGTTTGGCTGGAAACCACAGTTGTGGGTTCAATTCCAGACCTGAAGGGCAGCTAGGGGCCATAGTCTCAGTGGTTACACCAGGCTCTATTGGACCAGCAAACCTGGTCACGGGGTATGTCTTGAGTCACAGCCTTACAAGAGGATTCAAGTCCCTCCTTTACTCAAGTCCCACCCTTACTCTGATGTAAGGGGCGCTCCCTTGGGGGTGCGATTAGATGCTCTGCCAAGGTGCTTCCTCTGCTCTGGACTCTGCATCTGACTCGTCATCATCTGACCTCCAGCTTGTGGGACTTGAGCTAGCAGCCTGTTTTCTGACCTACCCATTCTGGGATTTGCCAGCTTCTGCAACCCTGTGAACCAGTAGCCTGCCATCTGACCTGCCGATTTGGGAATTCGCCAGCTTCCACAGCCCTGTGAGCCAACAGTCTGTCATTTGACCTGACAGTTGTGGGTTTATCAGCCCCTGCAACCTCGTGAGTCAGAAGAAGCCACCAGCCTGGTGCCTGACCCATAGATATGGGACTTGCCTGCTTCCATAACCACATATGCCACTTCCTTGAGAGAAATCTCTCTCTATATATACATACATTTCATTGGTTTTGCTACTCTAGGGAATGCAGCCTAAGACCACACTCATCTGAGCCATCAAGCCAGGCCTGAATGTCAGTGTGACATTTTACTTTACTCCTACAGAGTAGTAGACTTTGGATGTGAAGCAGATCTGGGTTAGAATCCCAGCCATGTTATCTTGGGCATTTAACCTCTCTGAGCCTGTTTCCTCCTCTTGCAAAAAGACCAACAGCAAAACACCGCCATGTGTTAGAGTAAAATTGCTCCATGGGGTTTTCTTGGCTGTAATCTTTACAGAAGCAGATCACCAGGCCTTTCTTCCATAGTGACACTGGGTGGATTCAAATCACCAACCTTTTAGTTAGCAGCCTAACCCCAATTTTTTATGCCACCCAGGGAACGCTCTCCTCTGCAAAGTGGTGATATAATAACTGCCTTGCAGGGTTGATAAGGTTAAATAGATAACATTAGTCATGTTTTCATACTAATTCTGTCAGTGCTACTTTGGCTCAAAGAAATGTAAATCCCAGGTGATCCATGAAATGGACAGAATCTCCAAAGACAAGAGATAAAATGAGCATCAGGGAGGAGCCCCAAAGGGGTGTGGTAGAAGGGGAGGTGTAGTCCCTTTAGCCAGACTCATAGCCAGAGTGGTGGTGGAGACAAGAGGCCTGTGCCTGGCCCAGGGTTGGTGGGAGGTTGCCAACAAGGTGTACATACGTGAGCCTTGGGTCCTTTAAAAAGCTGTGCCAAGCGGCAGGGGATTGCAGGCAGCAGGGTTGGGTCTCCCCAACAGTCCCATGTGTCCACTCTATAGCTGGAGGTGGGGGAGCAAGACTTCCTTGCCACATCAAGTTCTCCCCTCTCCTGAAACTGTTCCTTAGCTTAGCAAAAACAAGTTTGCTTTTTTGGTTTTGTTTCCTTTTCAACTAAAGAAAAGGAGTTTATGGATGGGTTAATGCCAGCCCAGATGCCTTTGCCTCCACTCCACCTCCCCAGGCTGCCACTCATTGCTAGGCATCTGGCTCATTTCCTACAAGTCGCCCTACAAGGTCTACACCCCACTAACAAGTCACCCCAACCTGAGTTCTTTGCATCTCTCCCAGTACAGTGGGTGTAGGGAAGAGAGCAGGGCTTTGGGGATCCCAGCCCCGGGTTTCACCCCCCAGCACCCCTAGTGACCTTGGGAAACTCACATCACCTCCCTGGGCCTCAGTTTCTTCATTTAAGAGTGGGTATAACTTGTATGATCTGAATTCCCAGGTGTATAGTAGACCTGACAAGGGGCAAGGTTGCAGTCACTTCTTGAGCACAGCCAGCTATCCAGAGGGACTGAGTAGTTGAACCTGTGGGCTCAGGACCATACTTGCAGGGGACATCAAGCTCAAATGGCATAACATACTACACAAAACATTGTTCCACCTCCTATTTTGGTAAGTAGTGACTGTTGTTGTTGTTATGTGCCGTCGAGTCGGCCCCAACTCATAGCGACCCCTCCTTGGGTTTCCGAGGCAGTATCACTACGGAAGTAGGATTGCCCAACCTTCCTTCCGAGGAGTGGCTGGTGGGTTTGAACCACCAGCCGTCTGGTTAGCAGGCAAGTGTCTTAGCCACTATGCTACCAGAGCTCCCAAGTAGTGACTAGGATCTTAAAAGCTTGCAAGGTGCCATCTAGATACAACGATGGGTCTCTCCTCATCCAGAGCAAAGAAGAATGAAGAAAACAAAAAATTCATGGCAACAGTAAGTCCTAGCGACTGATACACCATCCGATCTGCAGCCTATATGACTATGAGACCAGAAGAACTAGATGGTGCCCAGCTACCACTGTCAACCACTTGGAAGAGGATCTATGTAGGAGATCCTGGATAGAGAGGGAGAACAATGTGGAACAAAACTCAAAATCATTTGGAGAAAAAAAAAGGGGTGGGGGACCAGGTTTGCTGGTCCGACAGAGCCTGGTGGAACTACTGAGACTATGGCCTCTAGCTGCCCTTCAGGTCTGGAATTGAACCCACACCTGTGGCTTCCAGCCAAACAAAAGACAGACATATGAGTTAAACATTTACCTGAGGTGGATACACTCCTTAGAGAGAATAATCATGGGAGAAAGAAGGGCTGTTAATGCACAGGGAGACACCTCAGGGGGCAGGAGTGCATGGAGGGGATGGACAGGGGTAAGAAGTAACTATGGGGAGGAAGTGGGAGGGAAGCTGTTGTATTGTGGTAAATTGTGGTCAATGTCATGAGACAAAATGTATGTGAACTGCTGTATGGGAAGTGAATGTTTCACCCAAATCACAATAAAAAAAAAATATTAAAAAAAAAAAAAGAGTGGGTATAACATCTAGGTTAGTGTTTGGAAGCGGACTTATTGATACAATTTACGGAAGTCTCAGCACAGTGCCAGGCACATGGGGGGGGGTAAGCCTCAGAAAGTGTTAACCCTCTCCATCCCAGCTCAGGCCGACTGATGCTTTTGATTTACGTCCCTTTCTGCGTTCCCTTCAAAACTTCCTTGGGATTCCCAGTCCGCTAAGAATTCCAAACCCCCGGATTCATCCAGCAGTTGAGTTTGTAAGCAAGTTTACACCCTTCACCCCTCAGTCCCGGCAGAAGGAAGAACTGGGACGGCCCGGAGAAAAAGGCCAGAGCTGGCGAGGCTAGAGCTGGTCTGTCTCCGTGGCTCCTTTTGCACACTTCTTGCCTGTCCTCCCCTACACTTCGCAAGCCAGCAGGGGACTGACGGGAGCCCGGGACCGAAGCCTGTACTTACCCAAGAAGATCCTGCCGTTCCTGGTAAGGAGGGCGGCGCCCACGCGGAAGTGGCTGTAGGGGCAATAGGCAGTGTTCCTGGCCTCGAGGCAGGAGAGCAGCAGCCGCTGGACGACCTCGGGCTCCAGGGCTTCGGCGGGCCGCTCCTGAGCCATATTGGCCCCTGTCTTGTCCTGGGCGGAGGAGCGAAAACCGGAGCTTGCTGCTAACAGCCTGGCTTGCCACCGCAGCTCCTCCCCGGGGGTGTGTCTCCGCGGAGAAGTTTGAGAGGCTCTCAGTTGCAGGCCGTTGGGAAAGCCCAGTGCGACCAGGTCAGGAAGAGGAGGGTGCCACAGGGTGTGGTGTGTGTCCAATGCTGGCGCGTGCCCCAGTGTGGAAGGGTATGGCTGTGCGTCACCCTCTGGCTTAGGGATCACTTCCCACTGCTGACTCACTCCTGGGTGGGTGGGTGGGTGGGTGGGGAGTGTGGGGAGGGTGCCACTGTGTGGTGGGTGACTGTGAACACATCCCCCTCAGGGAAGAAGCTGATGGGTGCCTTCGTGTGATGTCCTGGCGATACAAGCTCCAAAACTTGATGGCCCTCAGTTTGTTGAATGATTTTTTTTTCTTTTCTTCACTGAAGGAAGAGATGAGACCAAAGGGCAGGTCTGGGGCAACTACACTAACTTCCTGAGTCACAAGGCATGAAGAAGTTCAGTAAGACCTAGGAGACTGTCTTCATGTGTTCTCTTTCCAACTTTTCTCTTCCACAATCCAGAATTCAAATGTTTCTCAACTGAAAGGGACCTTTGAGATCATCTACCTGGGCTGTCTCATTTTTTTGGTTGCTAAAGTGGACGTGGGGTTGATGGTAAATAGAAGAATGAGTTTGCATACTGGAACTACCATTTTCCAGATATACAAACTTTGGCAGGTCACTTGACCTCTCTGAGCCATAGTTTTCTCATCTAATGGTTGTTCTACATCTTTGCATATATAAGCACTCGAGCCATGGAGTTTAGTAGACCCTGGTTTGAATCCTGGGTCTGCCATTTATTAGTGGTGTGACCTCGGGAAGGTTTCCAGTCTCCAGACCTGTCCAGTCTCCTCATCTGTAAAATGGGTACACTAGTAGTATCTCATTTAGAGAGTTGAGGATCAAATGAAAGAATGCCAGTACAGTGAGTGTGGGTGGAGGATCCAATGATCTCATAGCGTGAGTCCCTTTTGTGTCTCCACACAATTGGGGTTGTTGTCATGAAGTGGTTTGGCCAAACCCAAAGAGAAGGAGCAGAACCTCAGCCAGAGCATTCAGAGATGTCCACAAGTCCCCCAGGAGGCAGGAGAGAACAGGCGGCTTCTCTGAGGGCTGGAAGGAGGAGAGGGGAGAGGAGAGGAGGCGGCATCTGCTTGTCCTGCCTGAAGCCCTCATCCACACAGGCAAGCCGCTAGCTGAGCTTCTGTTAAATGTGGCAAAGGTTGCCTTATATCCCCCTCACTCCCCTCCATCCCTCCCTTCAGATTCCTGCTCCCTTTCATTCCACCCAAGAAGGAGCCCTGGTGGTGCAGTGGTTCAGCCGTCTAGGCTGCTAACTGAAAAGTCAGTGGGCTCAAACCTATTGGTGCTCCACGGGACAAAAGACCTGCTGACCTGTTCCCATCAAGATTCAAACCAAAACACCAAACTCACTACCGTCAAGTTGATTCTGACTCTTAGTGACTCCTCCTTGTTGTCTGAGGCGGTATCTCTACGGAAGTAGATGCCCAGTCTTCCTTCTGGTTAGCAGTCAAATGCCTTAGGCACTATACAACCTAGGAAACGCTTGGGGCACTTCTATTCTGTCATGTAGGGTCAGTATGGAAGCTCTGGTAGCATAGTGGCTAAGACACTTGCCTGCTAACCAGATGGCTGGCGGTTCAAACCCACCAGCCACTCCTCGGAAGGAAGGTTGGGCAATCCTACTTCCGTAGTGATACTGCCTCGGAAACCCACGGAGGGGTCGCTATGAGTCAGGTTTGACTGGACGGCACATAACAACAACAACAATAAGAAGGGTCAGTATGAATCAGAGTCAGTTTGATGGCACGCAACAACCACCATCCCCCCCAGCCCTCAGAGAACGGCTGAGTCCTCCCGCCTGCTGGGGCTGAGAGCACACCTTCCGGTGCACTTACTTTCCTCCTTGATCTATACCTCTGGCCTCAGGACGGGGCTGGTGGGGCGAGGCTGGCACAAAAAGCAGTGCGAATGCTCCTCTGCCTCCTCCATCCCCATGGGACCAGGCCCCAAAGACCCTCTCCAAAGATGCCACAAAAGAAAGCAAAGGAAGTCCTGGGCCAATGCATGTCCTCTTGACCTGGGCACTGATTTTAAAGCTTCTGGGAGCCGAGTATAGTTACTAGTGGGAAAATGGTTATGGTGGCCTATTGGCCTGCCAGTCCTGTCAGTGACCTCAGTGAGTGGTCTTTTCCTTCTCCCTTGTCCTCCTGTGACCCAGCCTACTCCAGGCCAGCCCTCTTCAGGCTAGGGTCTCGATTCCTTGTCCCCACAATGCAGGAGAACTTGGATGGCCTCCCAGGTTAATTATGGCCCTTGCCACTTTTAAAGCTCTTTATACACAGGTAATCATAAATGGGGACAGCACCCATTGTAAACCCAGCTCTATGGAGCTTGGAAGACAGTTGTTGTTGTTGTTGTTATGTGCCGTTGAGTCAGCCCCGACTCATAGTGACCTCTCCTTGGGTTTCCGAGGTGGTATCAGTACAGAAGTAGATTGCCCAAACTTCCTTCCGTGGGAGAGAGTGGTGGCTCTAAAATTCCTCACAGAGGGGCTCGAGGGTTGGTCATCTGGGTGGAAAGGGACAGTGGGCTTGGAGACTTGCTTAAGCTAAGTTATAGATCAATAATATTAACAGCATTTTAAAACATGCTTTTACATGAAAGACAAGTCAACTGCCCAGATCAATGAATAAGACTATCTAGAGAGGGTATTTGAGTGGTGATGGAGATTATCAAGGCCCACCCTCCTGTTCCACCCTGCCTTTCCTCTTCAAGGTTCCCCACCTGGGGTCTCTGTTAGAGGCCAGGTGCCATTTACTCACTTATTCATTCCATGAACAGTTACTTATTTACCACTTTCCGGGAGCTCTGGTGACGTAGTGCCTAAGGTACTTGACTGCTAACCAGAAGGCTGGCAGTTCAAACCCACCAGCCACTCCTCAGAAGGAGCTCTGGTAGCTTAGTACCTAAGGCACTTGACTGCTAACCAGAAGGCTGGCGTTCAAACCCACCAGCCACTCCTCGAAAGGAAGATGGGGCAATCTACTCCCATAGTGATACTGCCTGGGAAACCCAATGAGGGGTCGCTATGAGTCGGGGCCGACTCAATGGCACATAACAACAATAACAACACTCCTCAGAAGGAAGATTGGGCAATCTACTTCTGTAGTGATACCACCTCGGAAACCCAAGGAGGGGTCGCTATGAGTTGGATCTGACTTGATGGCTGTGGTTATGTGCTAGGCACTGTGCTAAATGCATTATTTGAATTATTTAATTTAATCCTGAGCACAAGGTAGACAAGGAGCCCTGGTGGTGCAATGGTTAAGTGCTCAGCTGCAAACCAAAATGTGAATGGTTTGAACTCAACCCAGTGGCTCTGTGGGAGGGAAGACCTGGTGATCTGTTCCCATAAAGATGACAGCCTAGAAAGCCCCGTGGGTCGGTTCTGCTGTATCACATGGGCTGCTGTGAGTTGGAATGGCCTCTACACAAAACAAGGTAGGTATATAATACTATTGTCCACATTTCACTGATGAGGACACCTGGACTCATGGAGATCACAGCCTCAGAACTGGATCTCACACTTGAGTTTGTTTGCCTCCGTCTGAATCCTGGGCTCTCATCCGTCCCAGAACTCATGGGGAGCTGGTAGTATGGATGATGAGGGGCATAGGCCTCAGCATCAGACTAACTGGTTTAAATTCTTCTTCTGCCATGTATTGCCGACAGTGGGCATAAGCAAGTTAGCACATTATACGATGGGGCAACACTAATACCCAGCTGTGGTGGACCATGATGGTTAGAGTTTTATTGTGTCCCATTTCTTTTATTTTGCTTCCTTTGGGAAAGACCTCCTGGTGGGGCTGTCAATCATTGTGCTCCCATCCCCTGGCCAGAGGTATAGGCAGTTGACACAGGACAAGCCAATCAGAGACCACCTTTTTCTGCTTAGTGAACGGGGATGCCAGTTGCTTTCATTGTGGTTGCTAAGCAAGGAGGGTGTGACAACTGCTGACAGTTAGCTTTCCATCTGTGGAGAAAGCCTGCATGCAAAGTGAAGCCAAGTAGAAAGAAGCAGAGCTAAGAGATGGAGGGAAGGAACCCTGATTTCTCTCTGAGTATCTGGATCCAGCCGTGCCTGAAGGCAGACTTCTGGATATTCCTTTGCTTAATACATTCACTTTCTTGCTTAAACTTGTTTGAGTTGTGTTTCTGTCAACCATGTGGCATCTACACTAACGTGCTATTTCCTACTATTGTAAAAGTCATTTGAGATAATGTACATAAGCTCTTACCACAATCTGGCACATGGTAAGTGATCAACAAGTTTTAACTCATATTATAATGAATACTGTGTGCCAGGCCCTGTGCTGGGCACTAGGAATACAAAAGTGAATCAGAATTGGTACCTGGCTTTGTGGATTGCACAGCTGGGTATTAGTGTTGCCCCATTGTATAATGTGCTAACTTGCCTATGTCCACTGTTGGCAATACATGGTTAAACCGGTTAGTCTGATGCTGAGGCCTATGCCCCTTGTCAGCCATAATACCAGCTCTCCATGAGTTCTGGGACAGATGAGAGCCCAGGATTCAGACAGAGGCAAATAAACTAGTGAAGGAGACAGACAAGTCAGCAGACAGGTACGAAACACTGTAACACATGATTAAGTACTAGGTCTCATGGCAACACTATGTAATCTTCTGGAGGGAATGGTGAGGTAAATGGATTGGGGAAAGCTTTCCAGATGACAAGAGACTGAGAAGAGTCTTAAATGATAGGTAGATACTTATAGAGCAGTAGGTGGGTGTAACAGACATTGTTGATACCTCACCCACACCTCCTTGGCCACCCCAGAGGTCACCTCCAGCTTCAGTGGATAGTTCCTGGACATA